GCTTGGAAAATTTCTGAAAAACCACTGTGATTCGAACAAAAAGAATTGAAAATTTCCATGATTCATATTCGTCGAAGGGTTGCAACGTGGAAAACGTAATTCGAAGAAATCAAAAATTGCCATGATTCATATTCGTCGGATGCTTGGAAAATTTCTGAAAAACCACTGTGATTCGAACAAAAAGAATTGAAAATTTCCATGATTCATATTCGTCGGATGCTTGGAAAATTTCTGAAAAACCACTGTGATTCTAACAAAAAGAATTGAAAATTTTCATGATTCATATTCGTCGAAGGGTTGCAACGTGGAAAACGTAATTCGATGAAGAAATCAAAAATTGCCATAATTTATATTCTTTGGAGGGTCATATTCGTTGAAAAATTTCTGAAAACCCACAATCCACTTTCTCTCTCGTAACTCTCGAGTAAAGAAAAATTAAAATAGCAGGTCGAAGATTATTAACAATTTATATCCCTTCGACCTCGAAACAGCGTTTCCACGTTTCCCTTTTCTCTTAACTCCAATTCTCAATTCTGTGGAAAGTGGCGCGACGAACGCGAAGAAAGAAAACGGGTTTTGCAAAGAACCACCCTCGAGAACCCACCATTGGCCTGTTCCGCTTCCCAAGGATTGGCAGATCATCCCATTGGATTATCCACGGCGCCGGCGCTCGCAACGTTTCGCACACTGCGCATTCACTGTCCGCTCACGTATTGCCCGACGCACGCGTATATCATCCACGTTCGAACGTTCACACGCGCACACTTACGAAAACTGGCCGATTAAACGGCTGTTTTTCCCTCGACACACACACACACACACACACTTCGTTTCGACCGTTTCTCATCGACACGACGCGCGAACACGAATAAAACCGCGTAAAAAGAAAGAGAAAATTACGACGCGACCACCTGGCACACGTGTCCCACCACGTTTTTTCACGCGCGTTTGTGGATTAGGACTCGCGATGACACGTTGCTCGATTGGTCCTTTCTCAATTTCTTTTTTCCTTCTTTTTTACGATTATTCTGGAAGAGGAGAATCAGTTTGGATGACGCAAGAGCGTGACAATTTATTCACAACGGTTTTTGTTTTATATATAATAGACGGTTGAAAAAAAAAAAAAAAGAAACAAGGCAACAGCGGAAATAGAAATTTATCTTTTGGAAGACACGTTACTATCTATCGAGGATATTATTCATAGCCCGGTTTCTCGAAGATATCGGGGTAATAAACCGCGTTTCGTCGAGGAAT